AATATGCTGTCAGGGTGAATTAGATGGTACATTCGCGTTTGCCAGCACATACTTTCAAGCCTTTCCCCTAAGCTAGACAAAAAGTTTTCATGAAGAGTGTTCACAATAATTCGATGCTTAAATCTCGAACTACCGCTCTGCGTGGGCGGTTTTTTGAAAAGATCCTTTCATGACGATGAAAATTTTCAAATGACCTCGCAGTACGAGCTCTTTCTTTAGACTATTAGTAATCCTTTCAATATTATTTGAGCCAACTTGTCATGTGGTTTGGTAAGGGCTCTTGTATAGCGCGATACACGTGTTTCGTCCTTACAGACTCGTCAGTCGGGCGGAACTCATCGTCTTTCGATATCTTTATAGTCAGTTCTCTCGGGAGCTCTGCTCCCTTACAGAGAGTTATCGAAGACGAACATTTTACACTCTATGTCAAGCGAAATTTTCACCTGACACAGAGCGTTTGCGTACTCGATTGCTCATTGGCTGGTATTTTTTATCATATTAAACCTTCATTTTGAGTGCTTTATTAAGACCACGGCTCAAATTTCAATAGATCCTTTCATTATTATTTGAGCCTTCGATAACGTAAAATTCAAAGATTCCAACGGTGTGCTTATACCACATCAAGACCGTTTCTTTGCAACTCAGTGGGGCGATAAGTTTGACTCACGTGCGCGAGCAACTGTTTCTTTAGCCAATTCATGTGCTGGTCGGCACGAATTTCGATTGATGGCGCCAAGGTGAGGTGTGTTTGATTAGGAATAACTTCTTCGCTTTGGAACGAACTCTGGATTGAACGTCTGACTTTGATACTAGAAGACTTTCTCTACACGCTTACGCACTTTTCGTGCTTCTAGAGAAGTAATAGCCGAATTACGTAGCCGATATGAAACATAGTTCTGTTTCTAATTTTTCAGCGCTATTAAGGGGTCCTTTCAGATAACCGCCCACGCACGGCGCTAGGTTGAGAATTATGCTTTCAAATGATTATTAACGCTCCTCCTGAAAACGCCTTGTCCAGCGTAAGAAATAGCCTTGAAAATCTGTGCTATAAAACAGAAAAGAAGCATTAGATTTCGAAAAAAAGCAGTCTAATATTATAGAAACGATAAATCAACAATAAAGATAAGAATAATAAAAATAAATAGCCTGACAGAGGAGGCGTGAGACGAGTGATCGGTGCTGCAGAGTGAGCAGTCGGCCCTCTGATGTTCCAAAGTCGACACGTAATCGGCGATCTTTCGTTGGAAATCCTTGAATTCCTCCAAAGACATCTTTGGCAAGAGGGTTAGAGCGGCAGATCACGAACAAGTGGACCGGATCGATCGCTAAATGATGACGTCATCGAGAGGAGGAGTGTTCGATAGCAAAGACCTCATACCGTCGTAGTCAAAAGAGCCAATGGTTCAAATAAATGACTCGATACTAAAACTCAAATGATACGAAAGTTTATGAAGGATGGTAGACTAGAACTTCATCTCTTGAAAATTCAAAAGGGCGACGAATGAGAAAGTCAGGAGGTGTTCAGGAGAACAGAAAAGAATGAAAGCAGTCTAATCGGACTGGAAAATAATTCAACAATCTAGTCAGCGTTACAGAGTGATGTGCAAAACTTTAGTGTCAGGCGAGACTAGAACCCGCACCTCTATATGACAGAGCACGCATTCTCGGAAAGAATGAGGTGCGGGTTCTAGTCCCGCCTGGCGCTAAAGTTTTACACATCACTCTACAACACTGGATATATATTCATAATATCATATCACCGCAAAAAAGCGGTTAAATAGAAACAATTTAATTTGATCTATAATCTAGTCAGCATTAACCTATAGAGGATGGCGAAAGGACGAGTGGCTAGTTATGCTCGGTGCGGGGGGCTCGACGCGAGGTTCACCGCGCTCCAGCAACACTCCCCGGCAATCAATAACGAACGCTCAGACCTGGCTATCCTCGAGACAGCATGAGACGTGCACGAGCAGCATTCTACGACGTTCGTGAAGATGACAAATCTTCGATCAAGCGATTAATGAGAGAGACGAATCGAATGCTCGAAGTACTGGAGGCCTTTCCCCGGTATAAAAAGGGTGGCACGCATCAAATAAAGTTTTATTGCGTAAATCCTAAGAATACGAACTTACAATATGAAATTTAGACTTTTCAAGGTCCCGTTTTTTTCCTTGGTGAATGTCAATCGATGGCAGAAATCGCTTGAAAAGGCGATAATTAGGACAGGCTCATGAGAGAGATGCTACACTAGTGTTCTGGGCTTCCAGGGACTTTTTCTAGGGGATGTAATTCCCATATAAAATTTCAAATAGAACTAGAATTTTAAAAATCCAAAAGGCGCGCTCTAATCGCAAACTCTAACAATACCGCGCCCCACTCGCAAAATTCCTTGAAGCGGCTCGAAGAGGGTCGAACATCATTTTCCTCCTGATGCAAGTGTATCGTCTTGCTTTATGGAAGGCGGGACATGGCCGACTGGTTGTGGCGCTCGTCGTGGTGCGGCCCGGAGCCGATCTCCACTCCTCCATACCCTTCGGCAGTCAACAACGAAAGCCCCATGGGACGCCACAACCAGGTTATCCTCAAGATTTCGTGGAAATTCCCTCAACCAATATTTTACGACGCGGAAGAAGAAGACGGAACAACGAATTGAATGCTAGAAGTACTGGGATCCGCACAGTGAAAAAAAAGAAAACGCTGTGATGACGGATCAAGTAAAGTCATTACTGTACGCATTGGCATCAATGCGCACTATTCGTCTGTATGACGTAAATATCAGTCAATTTCCGATGGCACATACAACTATCTCTATCAGCTATATACTGTACTTATTGATTTCGATGCGCCTTTTCGATTGTTTATTTTGCGCTTATACAATACTCAGGATTCCGTATGTTGTGGTGTTCTTTTTGCAGTAGATGTTTTAAATACACCTAAGAGAATTGAGTGTGAGCAAAAATCCGACCTCAGCGGGGAGTTGAACCCGCGTTTCACCCATGCCGAGGGCGCGTGCTACCACTATACCACAGAAGCACCGTTTCGCGCCACCAATCATTCTTCAAGATCAAGTTGTTTGTTTTGTGGCAAAGAGCTCACTTATCGGGGGCGTCGTGGCCGAATGGTTGTGATGCTCGACGTGGCGCACCCGGGCTAAACCCCGCCCCCAAGCCCCTTCGGCAGTCAACAACAAACGCCCTGTGGAACGCCCCACAGCCAGGCTATCCTCAAGATTGCAAGGAGACCCGCTCATCCAGTAATCTACGCCGTTCAAGAAGAAGACCAAACAACAAATTGAGTGTTAGAAATGCTGGAATCCGTAGAATGAGAAGGAAAAAACGCTGTGAAAATGGATCAATAAAGTGTAAAAATGGATAAAATATAAATGAATAAATATGAAAAATCAGTAAAATGGATCAATAACAGCTGTTGTCTGTTTGCAAAAATGACCTGCAAAAGCCTCTTTATCGGACGAGTTTTCCGATGCTCTGTGCATTCCATGAGAAATTCAAGCATAGCCGCGTCTGTCGAGTAGTCCCTCTGAGGATTTTCCCCTTGTCATTTTTGTCATCCTTTTCCTCTTGTCATCCTTGTCATTCTTTCCTCTTTCATCCTTATCATTCTTTTCCTCCAGTCGTCCTTGTCATTCTTTTCCTCTTGTCATCCTTGTCATTCTTTTCCTCTTGTCATCCTTGTCACTCTTTTCCTCTTATCATCCTTATCGTTCTTTCCTCTTTCATCCTTACATTCTTTTCCTCCAGTCGTCCTTGTCATTCTCTTCCTCTTGTCATCCTTGTCATTCTTTTCCTCTTGTCATCCTTGTCATTCTTTTCCTCTAGTCGTCCTTGTCATTCTCTTCCTCTTGTCATCCTTGTCATTCTCTTCCTCTTGTCATCCTTGTCATTCTTTTCCTCTTGTCATCCTTGTCATTCTTCTCCTCTTGTCATCCTTGTCACTCTTTTCCTCTTATCATCCTTATCGTTCTTTTCCTCTTGTCGTCCTTGTCACTCTTTCCCTCTTGTCATCCTTGTCATTCTTTTCCTCTTGTCATCCTTATCATTCTTTTCCTCTTGTCATCCTTGTCATTCTTTTCCTCTAGTCGTCCTTGTCATTCTCTTCCTCTTGTCATCCTTGTCATTCTCTTCCTCTTGTCATCCTTGTCATTCTTTTCCTCTTGTCATCCTTGTCATTCTTTTCCTCTTGTCATCCTTGTCATTCTTTTCCTCTTGTCATCCTTGTCATTCTTTTCCTCTTGTCATCCTTGTCACTCTTTTCCTCTTATCATCCTTATCGTTCTTTTCCTCTTGTCGTCCTTGTCACTCTTTCCCTCTTGTCATCCTTGTCATTCTTTTCCTCTTGGTCCATCCTTGTCATTCCTCTTTGTCATTCGGTCATCTTTCCTCATGTTCGTTTCGGTTGTCTCTGCAAATATCTTCACTTATACTTTCCTTAAGTATGTTTCTCTTGTCTACAATGCCTCGTGCTCCGCTTTAGGTTCATGTCAGTCTCTGGCAAAGAGGATGTATACGAGAGTGAGGACCTACCCGAATCGGAACAATTTTTCAGCAAGTTCTCGGCGAGAACAGTTGAAGAGCCGAACGATCGAGAAAACATCGAATTGGTCGGCTTTTTTTTTCATAACTATCGGTACCGCTTTGAATCACTTCTGACGAAATATTATTGTGATATCAATTCATTGAGCGCAAATGGCGCAGTGGTTAGGTGTGTTCGACAGACATGGGACCAGCCAATCGTTAACCGATAGTTCGAACCCGGCCTACGTCTCATCAACCCTTTTATCCCTTCGGGGATCGGAGAATTAGTACCAGACTTGTCTGGCAGGATAGCAACACGGATTTAATACCCGAAAATTCCATAGATTAGGGCAGTCTGTGCTGGAAAGAAGACATGGGCGTACACTTCCTTTTCGGGATTCCGTTAAACCTATTTTAGGAATCATGAAACACCGTAAAAATCAAAATGCTGCGAGCGTGTTTGTCCTTCCTTTTTGAAAAATCCAAGCCGTTCTTATCTATGGAACTTCAGAATACATCGTTAGCCCACCGTTAGTCATGTAAAGACCAGTTACACGTCTAATCACCCCTATGGTGCTACGAATGGAATCGAAACATGGCTCTTTTTTTTGCGAGACTGATCACCCCCGAGAACTCTATCCTTTCTTCTTGAGCTTATGGTACAGTGTCCAGAACGGAAGTCAATGTGGTGGATTATTGATTTAGTGGAAGTTAGATTTCCTGGAGTTTTTAAAGCTCTGTGTTCAGATTCATATCGATGTTGATGCGGCTCGAAAGCGATTCAAGGACCACACTCTAAGTACTCGTGATATTGGTGAATCAGTTGGAATAGTTTTATGACTATAGATTTTTTTCTCATCAAATATTACAGATTTCTCTGACTCAATCGCTAAGAAACGAGGAAAATCTTATGGCAGTTCTATGTATGTGCTCGAGGTTGTGGGCAAAGGTCAGAATCGAGTTGTATCTTTTAGGATTTTTCAGGTTCTTTTTCCTTGCGAAACTGTTTTAACATGGTATTCTACAGAATACGGTGAACCTGAAACTATTGAGCAGAAGTACAACCGGATTTCATGTGAAATCGACGAGCTGGCAAAACAGCTACAGGTGCATCTTTCGAAATTCTTCTCTGAAGAGAATTTTTGCAGCTGTTTTCATTGTAGGAGGATGACGTGAAACCTACTCTTATGGTTAATGAGTCATCAGTTGCTGAGCTTGCAGATGAACTGAAGGTATACATCCAGTTCGCTCCTTCTTTTCTTTTCACTTGTTCTTGCCAATTCTACAGGTTTTAGTACGCATGTTTATATTTATTTAAGGCCGTAAAAGCGTCCAAAATATCAGGTAACCTGAGCTTGAACAAGGACAAGAAGACGCCAGTAGTTCATGTCGACACTTCGGCAAATGGAAAGGTGGGTTTCAGAAGGATCCTCGTTCTATTCCATTTCATATCCATTTTTTCTCTTTACGTTTTTCTTTACTTTTGACTCTAATATTTTGATGATATAATCTCACAGGCATTTGTGTGCTTTAAATCCTACTTGTTACCGTCATGTATGATTTGTCAAGCTATCTTGGTGTAAGAGCGCATGTGGCGTAGTGGTACGAGGTCCTCTGCGCCGTACACTTGGTCGATCAGTCAGCGGTGGACCGTTCGATCGGGCACTCAAGGCTCATCAAGCTTCCCATCCTTTTGAGGTCGATGGTTTCGGTACCAGACTTGTACGGGAGGATAGCAGCAGTGACTTACTAGATACATCGGTAGGCCACAACAGATCATTATAAAGGCCAGATATGCATTCAATCACCTCGAATGATGCAAGATCGAGACGATTTCACGACTCATTCCTCAGCGATTGATCAACACTGAGAATTCTGTCCTCTATCCTTTTCTTGTGCAGTTCCACAAAAGAAGCGAGTTTTGAAGCGTATTCATATGGTCCTAGGCGGTTATCGGTGGTCGTGAACTAAGCATCTTGTATCTTCTTGCGGCTAATGTTAACGTTGCTTCACTCTTTGCTGAACTTTCGCTTTTATCTTTAAGTGGAAGTGATCATTATTTTCACAACTTCATCCTGATTGAGGTTATGCTTTTGAGTTTACGAGGACACCCAGAGCGGAATTCCCACGCAATGACAGAGTTAAACTGCCAGATATGACTAGATTCATGACAAAATGGTGAAAAAGAAGGGTCCCCTCAGAATTGTGTTTCTTTTCCTTTTCATCAAACAGCCACTTGTTAATTGTGCTCATATTTTTCAGCTTTTGTCATTAGAACAACGATTACGTAGGATCGAGTCCTTAGTTGGGTCGGTGGATCCAACTCATCAACCAATTGCAGATTCCGTTGAAGATATTAGGTGAGTTCGTTGATTGATCCACGTTAATGTCGAATGCGTTCAATGTGAAGTAGGTGTGTTTTCTGTGGTCTGATGAAATGGATTGAGAAGATGACTTTGACTATCATCAGGACGTTTTGGTTGATAATACTCAGCAGCTAGTGGTACCCAATGTGAAGTGTGCATTATTAAGATTTCGTCTGGAAGCCCTGAATCCATCCTATATCGATGGAATGGAATCGAAATTGAATGCATTAATGTCAAAACTTGATCAGGTGAGCACTAACTTATCATGAATCAACCTGCAGCTTAATTTAGGTGACTCCTTTATTCTTACTTTTTCGCAGTGGTATGGTGTTCTAATTGTGCATGTAGGAGTATTGAGTGGTTTCCAAGCATTCGACATAGGTGGGAGTTGAACTCGCGTTTCACGCATACCGGATAACACAACTACATCATCGGTGCCACCACTGAGCTATCACTTTCCCATCGATATGGGCTATCGTAGCTGCTAGCAACTAACCTTCAACGCGCCTGGTCTCGTGAGCTTATATCGGCATCAAACCCAGCTATGCTGTTAGCTATTTGAATTGTAAATCAGTATCTTCTTCTGTTTAGCCGCTCCGAGGTGTTAGTAGTATGACTTATTGAATATCAGCGAAGCATATAACAATACAGTTAATAATGCAGCACGAATATTACAACAGTCGTGGTGGCTTACGTTTCGGCAAGGTTCGCCATCTTCAGAGCCTGGAAAGGTCAAATTGATTCGCAAGTTATTAAATCAAAGGCCTTCATAACTCTAGCAGAAAACGTAAGAGATAAATTTTTGGGTCGCATAGGAATAACTTCATTTCAAAAACACTCACCTCTTAGATGTTTTAGGTCTTTCAATAATCATTGAAGACCTGCCACTTGGAGTCTGTGATAATGTGAGACTGTGCCTGGCTCAGGTCGGGAATATCAGCCTGAGGTATGGTGCTAGGTCACGCGTTATTATGAGGCATTCCTCTTTTCGATTCATTTTTGAGGCCTTTGCTATGTATCCAAAAGGCTTCCAAAGTTTTGCGCGTGGATGTTTTCGATTCCTGTGCAAGTACCGTGAATTTGACGTCAATATCCGCTCCTTCATGCTTCTGTTCCTTATGCGTGCCTAGTGGGGT